AGGGACGGGCAATCCGGACCGAGAGAAAGGGCAGCCATATGTGCCTTTACGGTTTACGGTTCTACTTGTTTCGGCTGCTGTGTATCATTGCCAGCTTGCGTTTTGTTTCCTCCAGGATTTGCACACTGCACGGCTTGCGCCATATTTAGGCGATATCCTTGCCTGAGCCCAAACTATCCAGGCATTGCGCCCGTGCTTCGGACTCTTTGAAACGAGCCACGCCGTCAATGATCTGATCGTGTCGCACAGACCTGCCTCTGAAACCCTGTCCGATGAGGAGCCTCATGGTAGGAGGAGGAGGGGGGAGGAGGGCGAGGAGGGGAATGAGTAGGGAGGAGCGTAGAAGCTGCGGCCAATGGGCCAGAGTCGGGGCAACACAAGGAAAAGGAGGAGAAAGAGAAAGAGGAGGAGGAGGTGAAGAGGAGGAGGAGGAGGAGGAGGCGGATGAGGCGGAAGAGGAGCGAGCTCGCCCTAAGCTCGCCTCATGCTGCCTCAGACGAACGAGGCGGAGGAGAGGAGCGAGCCAGGGCAATTCTGGAGATCGACAGCCGAGCGCGACCCGCGAGCCCCGCTCCATGGCTCGCGGCGCCGGGCGTCGCCGTGGCCGAGGCCCCACGGGCGGGCGGACGGCTCTCTCGGGCCGCAGCGCGCGCTGCTTTTCCCCAGGGAAGCCCCGGGGCCGCCCGGTCGGGACGCCGAGGGATTGGGGGGCCCATGGGCGAGTCGGTGGTCAGAGGAGGAAGAGGTACCCATGCTGCCACCCTTCCCTCTTTTTCCCCTTTTTGGAGGCCTCCTGGGAGGCCCTCGTCGCCCCCACCGGATTCGCCTCGGAATTCTGGTCAGGACGCACCTCGGGAGAGGTCCCAGGAGCAGCGGTACTGGTACCTGTTGGTTTCCCCAAGTGGGGATTCGGCTCACCGTGCGGTTTGGGGACGCGGGTCGCTCTCCGAGGATGTCTCGGGCGACCAGGGCCTCCGAGGTAGGGCCGTGCGGTGACGGGCCGCCGCGCGGTGAGGCCGTTGGGGATTCCGAGGTCTCCTGTTGTGTACCTGCTGCTGCGTTACCGTGGGCCTTGGTCCCCTGAAGTGCTGCGAGAACCCGCGCAGCCCCGCCGCCCTGGCACCCTCCTCCTCCTCCTTCTGCTGCTCCTCCTCCTCCTCTGTCATCCCCATCCCTACACTCATTATCACTCATTCCATCACGTCCTTCATGATCATCTATCATGCTCCTTCCTCATTTTTCCGGCTTCTCTGGACTGCTCCTCCTCCCTCCTCCCCGTACCTCCCCTCCCCTCCTCTTCCTCCTCTCATCCTCCTCCTCGATCCCCTCGCCTCCTCATCCTCTACCTCCTACTTCATCTTCCACCCTCCCATACTCCTCTCCTCCCCATCCTCCTCCCCTCATCCTCCTCCCCTCTCTCCACCTCCTCCCCTACCTCCTCCTCCTCCTCACCTCCTCCTCCTCTCCCTCATCATTCATCCTCCTCATCCTCATACCCCTCCCGCTCTACTCCATCCCTCTCCTCCCTTCCTCCCTCTCCTCCCTATCCTACCCCCTCCTCCTCCTCCTACTTCCTCCTGCTCCTCCTCCTCCTCCTCCTCCTCCTCCTCCTACCTCCTCCTCCTCCTCCTCCTCCTCTTCTTCCTCCTCCTTCTGCTCCTGCTGCTCCTGCTCCTCCTCCTGCTCACCGAACACTCGAGCGCCCCAGCGTGAACGCCACTGCTGCTGGCCTGCGGCGCCTGCTCGTGTGCCACCAGGAGACGACGAGGCAGGGTCTCAGGAAGAGACGGAAGGAGACGGATGAAGCATGAATCCTAATTAGCACATTCGTCGCATTTTACTTTCCCTTCCAGCGTAGTCTAGCTTTTTCATCCCCCTCAGGGAGGCCGCGTTCGACGAACCCTCAGGCCACCAGGGGAACCAGGAGGAGGAAGAGGAGGAGGAGGAGGAGGGGGAGGAGGAGGAGGAGGAGGAGGAAGAGCTATTCTTCTCGCGAGGCAGGACCAAGAAGTCAAACAGAACCAGTTGGAGGTCCGCGTGGATTTCTTGGATTAGGGCTTGGCCGTCCTGGCGGCGGTCGCCGATCCAAGACCCCGCGCGCACCTCCGAATGTGTGCGCTTAAAGAGGCAGGCGTTTTATTCTTCGAAGGTCTGTCCGAGGCGGCGACCCTTCTTCTCAGCCTTCGTTCCGTATTCTTCTTCTCCCTTTCATCCCTGTGCTCCCCCGCCGCCCCAGTCGGACTGGCGAGGTTGTACGCCCTGGGTCCAGCGCCCATCGTTCGCAGCGCATCCCACGGGAGACCGCCGCGATAGGCAAAGAAGGGGTCTGTGCGGTATTGGCGACACCGTGCCCAGCGCAGCAAAGATGCGAAATGACGCGTGCGGGTGCGCCCGCTTCTGCTCCGCGCTGAGCTCCCCCGCCCCGCAGGGCCTCATCGACAGCGGCTCCGCGGTTGACTTCGACAGCATCTACAGCCAGATCCATGCCGTGCAGCCGGAGGACCGCCTCCCTGCCCAGAGGGCGGGGGCTCTAAGGAGGGCCAAACCCAGACCCCCGACGTTGTTTCACCACTTCGACTCCCAGAGGTCTAGGCCCCTTTCCCGGGACGGTTCCGACGACGACGACGACGCTGACGACGACGACGCTGACGACGACGACGACCCTGACGACGACGACGACGACGACGACGACGACGACGACGCTAACGACGACGACGACGACGACGACGACGACGACGACGACGACGACGACGACGACGACGACGACGACGACGACGGCCAGCGGCGGCGTCGGCGTCGGGCGGCGACGGTCTGGCGCGTGCGCGGCGCCGCCCATCGGTCGTTGCGCCGTTTGTTCCAGCGCGGGGCCATCGGGGAGGGCGCCGCGGGCACCGGCGCAAACGCCGCCTCGGACGCGGTGGGCTCGCCGTGGGGCTTGCCGCTGCGCCGGCTGCTTCTGCTGGGGCGCGGGGGCGCAGGGTTTGCCGTGGGTTTGCCGTAGTGTCGGCGCCGTCCACTTGGCCGCGTCGAGGGCTAACGGTGCGGCGACACGTGGACCTTTGGATTCCGAGGGCCCAATCGGTTGTAGGCGCCTTTCTGTGCTGTGTGTTCCGTCGCACGGCCCTTGGCAAAGGCTAAGGAGCCGCAGGGACTGTGGCTCTGGTGGTGTCCGAGGCTTTGGGGACTCAGCGGGCCCTCTCGAGATCCTTTGGAGCAGAAACAGAAATCTATTGTAGGCGCCTTCCTGCTTCAAGAGTCGAGCGTTTCTGTCCTCCTCCCTACTCTTCAGGGGGCGAGTGGAGGTCCAATCTACTTCCAACGCCTTTCTACTTCAATGCTTCTACCCTTGAGTCGGGCACGTCCCTCGACAGGAGGAGTATTCCAAAATAGTAAAACATAGTCTGGGGACGATTTTTCGAAATTATTTTTACATTTTTTGTATTACTATTTTCATTTGTCGTCCAAAATCCCCCCGTAGGAGGACATGCCAGACCTAATTCTACCCACTCCTTCGGACTGACGGGTGGCCAGCAAGGACCTCGCCCTCGGCGTGTCCTCGCCCTCGGCGCGTCCTCTCCCTCGACGCGTCCTTGCCTTCGGTGGAAGCCAGCGGAAGGCTGGCGGAAGGCTGCCAGAAGCAAAGTTGCGGTGGGCACGCTGGCGGAAGCTCGGCAGAAGGCGGAAGAAATAGAAGTGAGAGGTCTACATTTTTGGATCGAGTGCTTCCAGGATCGCCCATACCAACCGCCTGGGAGGCCGATCTTTCTGAACCTCGGGAAGCGGTGGATGTGGATGTACTCGGCCCTCCCTAGGGCCCGACATTTTTCATATCGACCGTCGCCTGATGTCCCAGGACATTTGTTCCCCAGGCAATGAATGTGGATAGATCCCATCCTTGCAAGCATGGCCTTCGCAGGCCTCCAATCGAGGAGTAACAAGCGACACAGCTATAAACTTCCGGAGGTCCGCGCGGATCTCCTGGATCGGCGCGCCACGACACTCTAGGAGGCATCCCTCTCGCGACGCCGGAGGGCCGCCGTCTCGGGCAGCCGCTTGGAAGAAGACAAACGGCGCAACCACAAACTTTCGGAGGTCCGCGCGGACTTCTCGGATCGGCGCTGTACCACCCTCCCTGGCGCGCTCCGCGCGCCAGGGGCGGCGCCGGAGGCGCCGCCAGGGGTGTCCAGCCCAGACCCAAGAAATCCGCACGGACCTTCGAAATTGTCAGGCGATACATGTTTCCTCCTTCGAGCCATGGCGACCTAGTGGCCAGGACTGTTGAGCTGAACAACTCCAGAGTGCGGGCGAATCGAGACCTTCCAGTGCGGGCTCAGCGCCGACCCCAGAAATCCGCGAGACTTCTGCAGAACTCTTGGATAATTGTTGACGCTTCGCGAATCCCCACCAGCCCATCCAGAAACGATGCCCAGAGGAATTGTCTCGATCAGGGAATTGGGCAGCACACAGAGGAAGCCATTCTGAGACATCTTGGGATATCTTGCGCCGTCTTGGAGGTCATTTCGGGCTCTCCCAGGCGCTCTTGGAGTCATCTTAATGAGTGCCCCCCCCCGAAGAGGCCAATATGTGGCTAAAACCTTAGTGAAATCAATGATTTGGCATTTTTGCCGAGGCCTCTTGGAGCATCTTGGGTGCCTCTGGGTGGTCGTTTGGGGCCTCTTAGGGGGTCTCTTGGGAGCCTCTTGTGGGCATCCTGGGTGCCTCTTGGGGCTTTCTGGCCACCTCTTGGGGCCCTCTTGGGGCACCCTTGGGAGCCTTGGGGGCCATCTTTGGGCCATCTTGGGTGAGATCGATCACAGGAGGGGGGGGTGCTCAATTAGCGTCCCCCCTCGGGAGGCCAAAATGGGGCCAGCACCCTAGTAAAACCAATGAGTTTAGCTTCCAATGGATGCTCCGACGACTCGCGGAACCTCCCGTCCACGTCCAGGGGAGGGGGTAGGGGGATGGGTCAAGAGTCTCCCTCCCCGCCCGCGAGCCGTCTCGCTCACTCCCACCCGCCCTCCCAACACAGACGTAGCACCCGAGCCTGGCCCGAGCCGCAGCATATGCAGCAGTCGTCTTTGGATGGGCAGCTACTGGGGGCCAATCCGCCGCCGCCGCCGCCGCCCGCCGCCGCCGCCGCCTTCCGCCGCTGCCGCCGCCGCCCCCGCTGCCAAATCGCCGCCGCCGCAGCCGCTGCCGCCGCCGTCCGCTGCCGCCACCGCTGCCGCCGCCGCCGCCGCCGCCGCCGCGCCGCCCGCCGCCGCCGGTCGCCGACGCCGCCGCCGAGACGCCCTGACGCCGCCGCAGCCGCTCGCACGCCGCCGCAGTCGCCCCCGCTGCCAGTCGCCGCCGTCCGCAGCGCTGCTCGCCGCAGCCGCCTGCCGCCACCGCTGCCGCCGACGGCGCCAGCCCACCGCCGCTGGCGCGCCGCCGTCGCCGACACCGCAGCCGCAGTCGCCCCCGCTGCCGAATCGCACGCGCCGCAGCTCGGCCCGCCCGCAGCCGCTGCCGCCGCCGCCGCCGCCGCCGCCGTCGCCGCCACCGTCGCCGCCGCCGCCCCCGCCGCCGCCGCCACCGCCGTAGCCGCCGCCGCAGCCGCCGCAGCCGCTGCCCATGCCACAGCCGCCGCCGCCGCCAAGTGTACTCTGTATTGTTTTTGACAGGGGTGGTGGGGGGAGGCCGCATCGGGTTCGCTGCGCATGCTCCGAATTCAAAGGCAGAGTGTGTTTTGTATTGTTGTTTACAATGGGGGGCCGCATTGACCTTGGTTGGCCCCCAGTCGCCTGGGGGATGGGGTGTATATGAATAGCAAACAATGACAAACCCCTCCCCGAAGGGGAAAAAGAGGGGTGGAAGAGGAAATTCCCTAAACCACCGACGCCCAGAGGGCTGGACGAGGAGGAGGAGGAGGAGGAGGAGGAGGAGGAGGAGGAGGAGGAGGAGGTGAGGTGGTGGTGGAGGAGGAGGAGAGGAGGAGGAGGAGGAGGAGGCGGAGGATGGAGGAAGGATCAGCAACAAGGAGGACCTGCATAAAGGAGAGAAGAGGGTAGCGAGGGGAGGAGGAGGAGGGGAGGAGGAGTGAGGGAGGAGGAGGAGGAGGAGGAGGAGGAGTAGGAGGTGGAGGAGGTGTGGAGTGAGGAGGAGGAGGAGGAGGAGGAGGAGGAGTGGGGGAGGAGGAGGGGGAGGTGGAGGAGGTGGAGTGAGGTGGAGTGAGCGTGTGAGAGCGGGTAGGATGCGAGAGGAGCGAGGGTGGAGCGAGGAGGAGCGAGGAAAGGAGCGAGGAGGAGCGAGAGGAGCAAGGGGAGGAGCGAGGAGGAGCGAGAGGAGCGAGGGAGGAGCGATGAGGAGCGAGGAGGAGCGAGGAGGAGCGAGGAGGTGAAGAGGTGGAGCGAGGAGGAGCGGAGGAGGAGCGAGGAGGATGCGAGGAGGAGCGAGGAGGAGCGAGGAGGTGCGAGAGGAACGAGGAGGGAGCGAGGAGGGAGCGAGGAGGAGCGAGGGAGGAGAGTGAGGAGCGAGGAGGAGCGAGGAGGGTGAGGTGAGCGAGGAGGAGCGGAGGAAGCGAGCGAGGAGGATAGAGAGAGAATAGAGAGAGGAGGAGCGAGGTAGGAGCGAGGTGGAGCCTGAGAGGATGCGAGGAGGAGGTGGAGGAGCGAGGAGGAGCGAGGAGGGGCGAGGAGGAGCGAGGAGGAGCGAGGGTGAGGAGCGGAGAGGAGGAGCGAGGAGGAGCGAGGAGGAGCGAGGAGGAGCGAGGAGGAGCGAGGAGGAGCGAGGAGGAGCGAGGAGGAGCGAGGAGGAGGAGGAGGAGGAACTTTGAGGGTAGCTCTTTGGGAGATGTTATAGTATCGGGAGCATAGCTCGCGCGCCGCCGCCTTGGGCTCAAGGCACGCGCGCCCTATTTGCCCGGACACTGCTTGTGTTCGCCATGTGCTGGAAAGATCATTACATCGATCTTATCCTATCTTACCCATCCACCCCTCATACTGTACCCTCACAGCAGAGCGATGGATGCTATTTGCCAGGCTATATGCCCTATTTGAGTTACCAGGCTCACTTTCGACTTGGTAGCGGAGCTGGCCGCACTCTCGTGTGGTCAGCTCTTGCTCTTCTCAGCCTCACATTCTTCGGCACGATCTTCGTGACCACCTACTACCCTGCGCCACCACTCCCAGTACATTTACGAGGATCTATTCAAGAGCAAGAAGCTACACGAGAGGTACGACGTCTAGACGACCAGATTGGTACCATATACGCTTCATCATTGCGTTACTATCAACCGCTCGGCAACGAGCCAATAACGCAATACCTGAAGCAAGGGCGGGGAAACCCGCCAGACAGAGCGCCTCGAAGACTCGACAAGGCGCTACCCCAGCGCGACACCGCTCATCATAACCGTCCTTCGTTACACATTCTCGGGCTAATCGTTTTCGCTATCATATGGTTCGCGCTGGGGGCAGCAATCGCACACATGCGTCGGGGAGATAACAGCACCGATGGGCAAAC